GTGCATAGGGATCTTCTTCTTGTGGGGATTGTCAGCAGTTTGATGCAATGTGACCATGGTCTCCATGGCTTAATGAGGATGTAAGTGAAAGTAAAGTTTCAAAAGAAACCCCATGGCAAGTGAGAAGGGCTGATAATGTTTTGCAAATATGAGGTAGGCTCTGCTTTTGAGTGTAGGTCACATACTGTTAGGTCTGTTCACCATGCCTGACTTAAACTTTCATTTTGCCTTAGCAAAATGAAGATGGTAGACTGACCTACAGCACTGATGTGCTGTTCTGTTCCTTAGGTGTCCTGTTGAACTTCTGAAGGGAGGATCCTAGCCAATGTATTATCATCACCATGTAGAGAGGTATAATGTTCCTCTGACTGCATTTCCTGGATCTCAGGTGTTTTGTTTGTAGCTGAAGTTGAAGTACAAAAAGAAATGCAGGGTTACTCCAGCAGATAAAATAAAAACACCATCTACTTAGTCACCTTCCAAGAGATGTATTTACAACAACCATAGGGATTTCTGAATAGACTTTAGGGAGCAATTATTATTACTGTTATGTTTGAATATGTTTTTCTCAAGTATCAAGCAGATGCTGATAGAGGCTATGCAGATTTTGAGGATTAAAATGACTTGTAATGAAAAAAGTAATTTTTGGCAAAATCAGACCATTCTAAAATTGGGGGGACATGCTGAATGGCTGCAGTTGAAACATGCAATGAGTAAGTATATTCCCTTCAACTTTTTGGCAAGAATGCTGCATTGTACAGCTCACTCCTGTAAAGCTATGATCTCATACTCAAGCATCCTGGGGCTTGCTGCTTAAAATCAATTTACTACATTTTATTTAAATATGTGTTATGACAATTTGAGGATTCTGACTGTGTAAACTTATGAATGCCTGTTTGATTTTGGAAACTCTCTGTTGATTGAAAATTTCAGTATTGTTTAGAACTACCATTTTTAGTCAGGAGAAGACCATACTTGAATCTGAAAAGGGTCATCAATTTGGAACACTCTACCTGATGAAAATAATGAAGTTGCTAAGAGAGTACTGAGGTTTCCACATTCCCAGTTTCTGGCTATTGGGATGGAAATTTGAGACTAGATCCAAATAATTTTTGAAGGCACCTTTACATGGGTGTTGCAGTGCCTGAAACCAAACCAACCACCCTAGAGAACAATCAGAATTGACAAGTTTTAGGTAGTTAGGACCCCATATTGCAGATGGAAACTGTTAGTAATCTATAATGGACAATCCAAATCACCTAAGTGTCGGGCAGGAGGTGCCTAGTACTAGCCAATATGGACATGTCTGAATGCCTGCTCCCCCTCAGAGCTTAGGCTCTGCACCTCAGGGCTAGATGTAAATCACTTCATCACCTTGGAACAGAAGAGATGCCAAACTCTTCAAAATCTGCATTCAGTTCAGTGTAAAGTTCAGCATTCAGAGTGCTATTCTGGGAATGCCCCTTATGGGCAGAACTTGAGGGAACTCTGCATAAGCTACTAAGGATGCTTGGGTGGGGGGATCTGTGCTGCTTCCAGGGTCAAGGGCAGCTGGAATGTGGGTCTGGCAAACCCCAGGTCAGACTGATTTCAGAGTCTGGACGTTTCTCAGACCAATGGGTTTAGAAACATGATACCCAAAGAGCACTTACACAAGTTACATTTTTCATGTGATTGGGTGTGTAAAAGCATATTACAGCAGTGACATAGCACACACGCATGGCTACTGAGTGCTTTTAAAATCCTGATTGTGCAAAAAATTAACCCTCCTCCAACGAGGTATTAGATGAAGGTGCTCTAAAACAGAGCACCTTAGGGAACTTGTGCTCCTTCTAGGGGTATTTTTTTTCCACTTTGGGGGCTTGTGTCAGTGAACACCAGCCCAGCCCCACCCCTGGGGCTGTCAGTGAGGGGAGGAGAGGGAGGAGAAGGCAAAGGAGCAGCAGGCAGCTGTCGACTAGGCATAGCCTGGCCAGTGCTGGAGGGGGCGATAGTGGAGTGGCCCCCCTTGTCTTACGGGCCCAGCCTGGCTTCTCCCAATACCCCATATGAAGTAGCAGCAGGGGGCCCCACAAGGTGAGGGGGCTCCGTTCCACCCCATTCTCCCCCATCCAGCTCCAGCCAGGCTAAGCAGAGTCAGCAGCTGCCTCCTGCTCCCTCCCCCTCTCTTCCCCGCTGACAGGCCCAGGCCTGGGGAGAGGGCAGGGCTGGGGAGAGGGGTGGGTTGGCAGCCTTCTCCAAGGTTACTGGAGCACCCACACCTGTTAGTCAGGGCCAGTGCAGGTACACTCAAGCCCCCCGACCCAACCGGTTTAATGTCTGTTGGCTTGCAGGTGGGTGGGGATGGAGCTCTAACTCATGGCACTCTATGTAAAGCACCATGAGTTAGAGCAGGGGCCCTGAGCATCTGTAGGCACCCAAGGTATAGGTTCAATATATCAGTTTGATGAGTACCTGAAGACAGGGACTTAGCCAAGATAACAGGTAATCTCGAAAACTAAATTAAAACTGCAGCACCAGGGAAGCAAGTGATAACTACATAGCAATGTCATAACTTATATATGCAAAGTTGTGTCTCTTTATGAAGTAAGATGAAATAATATTTGTCCTGCCTCCCTGCTACATGCTGTTTTCACACAAAAATTATACTTGGTTTGATGTCAGGATTAAAGCACAAGAGCCATAGAAATTCTAGAGCAGCAGTTAGCAACATACAGCTTTTGGGCTAGATGCAATCAACAGAGCCACTGGATCTGGCCTGCAGAGCTGTGGGAATTCAGTGCCATATTGGCAGCAGTGAGCTTCAGCAGTTGGTGACTTTTCCTGTGCCTGCACTGGGCCAGGCAATAAGGAGCTGCATTAAAGCCAGGCAGCAGGGGTGGAGAGTGCACCCATGCCAAAGATGAGGAGTGGGGAGAAACAGTGTCAGCAGATGAGTTCATTGGTCACATGTAGTAGGTGCACATGAATGCATGTGCACCCCCTATGAAAAGGCGCCACCGACACTGCCGGCAGTACCTGCAGGCAGTCACTGCTTACCACCCACCCCCCCTCGCTGCTGACACCACTGGCGGCATCTGTGGGAGGTCCGCAATCACCACTGGCCGCTGCTGCCACTGCTGGCAGCATTTGCGCGTGGTCACCAATCACCAGTCGGTGCTCTCCAGCCCCTACCCCACCACCAACAACACCGCCATGCTCCCACCGCTGCCACTGCCTGCCAGAGCTTGCCATGCCCCCCTAGCTTCAGGGGGCGCATGGTGTTCATGGCTGAGTTGAAACATCAATCCGCCTTGGACCTGAGCTGGGTTGTTCCCGCCTGCAGCTCCAAAGGTTGCCAGCCACTGGTCTAGAGAATGCCCATATAGCCTTGTAATCCTGGATTTAAAACTGAAGAGCTTTATGTTTGTTCAGTTTTTAGGGTCATAATAAAGTAGGACTGGAAGGGACCTCATGAGATCATCTAGTCCAGCCACCTGCTCAGGGCAGGATCATCCCTGACTAAACCATCCCAGTGAAGTGTCTTTCTAACCTGCTCTTGAAAATTTCCAAGTATGGAGATACCATAGCTTCCATCCTCTCTGTAATTACCTTTTAGATATTTGAATGCTGCTATTAAATCCCTTCTCAGTCTTCTCTTCTCCAAACTAAATAATTCTAGGTCTTTCTGTCTTTCCTCATATATCTTTTTCTCCAGGTTTCTCATAATTTTTGTTGCTCTCTACTAGTCTCTGTCCCATCTGTCCACATCTTTCTTGAAGTTTGGGACCCAAAACTGGACACCGTATCAGTTGTGATGCCTCACCAGGTATGAGGCCTCATTAGTGCTGAATAGAGTGGAAGAATCACTTCCTCTCATTTGCAAGTGACACTCCTGTTAATACAGCCCAGTATGATGTTGGCTTTTTTTTCAGCAAGACCACGTTATTCTAATATAATTGTAACAGGGTGCCGGTGTAAACCCTGTTACTTAAGGACAGAGAATCACTGTAGGATGATGTCATTAAGCAGTGCCAGCTGTAGGGAATCCCCCACCTGGAAGGAATTGAAAGGAATGATGCAGAGGTGGAGGATGCCACCGATAAAACCCGGCAGTAGAGAAGGGGAAATTACCCAAGAGGGCAATGAGACAGTGAGAGAGTCTGGCAAAGAGAAGGGGAGACACCTGACATGAGGGACCCTGAACTTAGACTGACCACAAAGGAATGGACAGACTACCGGCCAGTGAGACCGTGATTTGCTTACTTACCATGGCGATCAGCTGCTAAGAAGACTGTCCAGGGGATGGAAACTGGACAACCTGAAAGAAAAGACAGGAAGTTATTGCAGAGTGAGTTAACTTTGAGCCATAAAGTACCTTAAGGACTGTGCTTATTTTCTGCTGAATGAATATCCATGTTAGTAGTTTCCCAGGTGGGAGCATGAAAAGAAACCAACAGCTATTTCAGTTAAACACCTTGAGAGCACCGAATGTTCTGTGTTAGGAATGAATCTTTCAATTTTCTCCCATCAAAGGCATGGCAGGTGAGTTCCTGAATGAGGCAAAAGAGGAACTCCAACCCTGTAACAATAATAGAGGGCTTAGTCCATCTGTCTGTCTGTCCATAATGCTCTTGGAACACTCTGATTGGTTACTGAAACAACCAATCAGAGTGCTCCAAGAGCATTATGGACAGGAGGTGGTGGCACGGTGGAGCACCGCCATGATGGCGGGGATGGAGTGGGAGGGCGAAGCCAGTGGTGCTGGCTTCACCCCCGGCCCTGCTCCCCGGGGTTGGTGGAGCGCTGCCATGGTAGTGGGGATGGAGGGGATGGATCAGTGGGGCGAAGCCAGTGCTGCTGGCCTCCCCCACTGTCCCCCCACCCCCCGCCCTGCTCCCCCCCCCAACCTTCTCCCCCTGTCATTCTTGATGGGCAATTCACTAGTTGACTCATATTCAGTTTATGACCTGCTGTAATCTTTAGGTCCCCCCAGTACTGCAGCCTAATCAATCATTTTCCATTCTGTATTTGCACATACAATTATTCTGTTCCAAATGCAGAACTTTGCATTTGTCCTTCTTGAATTTCATCTGATTCATTGAGCACAACAAGGTCTCCCATTTGGTTGGCCTCTGGGTCCTGCAATAAAAATTTTAAGGTGTCTCAAATTAACTTGAGTGAAGAATTTGCCTTAGGGAATATTTGTATTACAGTGCTACCTAGGGACTGTAATCAAAATTGGTTCCCATTATAGTGGACAGTGTACTAAGATGGAGTATGACAAAGTCCCTGACCTGAAGAGCTTACACTCTGCCTTTATCATCTGTTCCCTTTATAATCTCACTTTGTAAATGGTGTCATTCACTGTTGGGCTATGTGCTGATTGTTCCCAAGGAGAGCAATGAACTGACTGAAAGGGCTTGGCCAAATTCATCCCTGTGGTAAAACCACAGAAGACAGTAGAGTTCCTTCAGAGATGAATGTGACCCATTAGACTTTGTTTTTTGTAAACAGTCTGTCCTCACCAGGGCAACTAACCCCGGGAGAGCTCTCACACAAATGAGAATTTGTCCTTCTCTCGCTGTACTTTTCTTTTCCAAACCTTTGTGCTCTTTGAAAGTGTATCTGCCTGTGATAAGAATTTCCCTAGAATGAGATGGATTCTAAGACAAATACACCTAGGAAAGAGAGCGCGGAGAATCTAGTTGGTAAGCCCTCTTTTCAGTCTTACTTTTAATAAATAACAAACCCGTATGTGTGAAATTAAATGTGGTCAAAAGCTTTGGGTTGATTCCTTGGAGATTAAAATCCTAAATCTCCATGGGCAGCAAAAATGCCATCCTACTTAAACTGTCCTGCCAATATATCCCAACCCTTACCTGAAAGCAGTGGGATGTGCAACTTTCTCCGGTGGTCAAAAGGGCTAATTTGGCCTGTCTACTGAGATGTATGTGCTGGGTGGGTAAATAAGGGTAGAAGGAATCAGGGCCTAAATACGTGAAGGATGATTAAGGCTGAGATACTGTATGCCTTTTTCAGCAGCTGTAAAATTCCTCTATGATTAAAACACAGTCCTAATTCCCAAGGAGGGTCTCGTACTTGGAGCAGACAGTAAACCTACATTTATACAACCATTGGCCATTATTTGTTAATATTGCATTTGATCATCAGAGTGAGTAAGATAAACATGACAAATGTCAGTCTTCAGATTTAATACCAGCGGAAAGCAGGGAGATGGGGATCGAGAAAAAAATAATCAGTTACTCATTCCACATGCCTCCATCTTTACAGGATAGACTCAGTACACTTCTGCTTGTCATTCTTCTACTGCTGCTAAAAAGCAACATTAAAATTTGATATCCAAAAGATTCTCATCCACTCTGTGGCTCTATTGACATAGCCTGTTCTTCCAGGGAAGGATTATAGATAGCAGTAGTTTATTAGATGTCCTTTATGTTTTGCCTGTCTTCTCCACTATCTCCTTGCCCAATAGATGATTGCAGTGCACATATGAGTTTCTGATACTGTTGCTGTGATGGATCTCTTATTTGGTATGGTGAAACCAGGTGGTAGATCCATAGGATCCACTGTCAGGTCTTGCAGCTTGTTTTCTCATAACCTCCACTGTTTATCTGATGGTGAAGCCCAAAGGTTTTCAGAGCTTTGGCCACTAATTAGAAGGAGTTTCTGAAATTAATGAGACATCTTGGGAGGTTTTGGAGATCTTAGTCTGGGTTTAGTATTATATACTTAAATTATTGTATGCTGCTTCTTCTCAGAGTGATAGTGGTAAGATTTGCACAAAGATGTCCAAACTGTTGGTGTTGACTTGCTCACATCTCAGATGATTCTCTCAGCAGTAGTCAATTGTACTAATGTGCTTTGTAAATGCACCACCTACCTTTACTGGCACACAATACTCAGCTGCTGAGAAAAAAGCAAGATGGCAGTCTGCAAAAATGTGAGCATTTGGTCCCAAATCAGTCCCAGCTAGTGTGTTTCTAGTCATCTATTGGTGATGTGTGAGGCTTTCCAGAATCACTTTGAAATATTTCAGGAAGCTCTCGTGCCTAAGTTTGGTAGGCAAATAAAACACGTATTGATTCCCTGTTAAGGTCTGGCTGAACTATTTCTAATGCTGTCCACTCCATAATCTATCCTGCTCTCTTTTACTTGATAGAAGAGACATTTAACCACTTGCCTGTCACTTAATGTACCAGCTATCACCTGACAGTTAATGGAAAAACTTACCAGACCACAGAGCGCCACCCTCAAACTTACTGTGCTGCTCCACAGTGGAATGATAATGCTAATTAGTTTGCCAGCAGCACAGTACAAATGTGGCCATAATCTTCTGGTTAAGGAAGTAGCTCGTGTGGACCCGGTAGAAGTTTGCAGTTAGATCTGTCCTAATAGGGCAGTAGCTGGAGTGAAGAAGCGACAAGTTTTCAGCACTAACCCCCAAAGCTTCTGTCCTGCCCTCACACACATATATTCTCTTGAGGTTTGCATGGTTATTTCCTTAGAGGAACTGTCTGAGTAATCTGTTCTAGCAATGGTGAGGGGACATAATATTTTACTAGTCACCAGCTTGCACCTAGCTGTGATTGTGGATCTAAATGTCTTTTTCCATTGAAATGGGTGAAAACCAAAGTCAAGAGGCTTTAGCAGGAAAGGCAGGACATTCAGAACAAAGCCTGACACTTGGTCCTCTTGGGTCCAGATCTTTCAACCTGTGAGTTAATAAGTCTGTGGCAAGGATATCAGAAACTTGGCTCATACAGCAGTCAAGCACAGCAGGCCCCTTTCCTCATAGACAGTAGTGCAGGGGGAGGTGTTTTGAAAAAGTTAAGTCTTCTTGCCAGGGCGAAGCACAAGCAGAACACATGGGCAGGGAAAACATTTTAGTTCTTGCATGGGTGACAGCCCTGCCCTGACCATGTCCAGATCACAATAGAAGGCAGGGTTGGAGCAGGGGTCCAGGCACTTGGATTCTGAAGATGCTTCCTTCCTGGACCTCTGGGACTTCACGCAAATCCTTAGGTAAATGTTCCCTGTGAATGCAGGGGACTAGATCTGAGTCCTTCAAGTCTTATATTTCCCTCTGACAGCTGCAGTGGGGTGCAGAGGGAAGGGTTGGAGGTGGCAGCTACTTTCAGCTTCACTCATTCTCAGTAGGAGGCCAGCAAAAATCACATTCTGCCACCATAATCTGCTCCAAAAATTTCTTCTAAGGCAGCCTTCCCCCAAAGACAGCCGCTCCCTTCTGCTGCCCTTGTTCCTTTTACTTATGCCCCAGCTGCTCTCCCAGTCTAAAAGGCCTTTGCCCTTCAGGAACTTGTACACATGATTCGACTGAACTGTTCCATTCATTGTTCTTCACAGCTGTTCCTGTGAAAAGTGCTACAACTCCAGCATCTTCTTTCATCTTAAAAGAAGAACAGCTTCTTGGTCCTCTCTCCCCTCCCAAAAATTACTTTTGATGGCTGGGCAGGTGCCGGGGTATGGTGTCAGAGTAGTTAAGGTGTCCTGCTATGGCTTTAGAAGTCATGAGCTCATAGTCTTATTCCAGGCTTATACCAAATGCCACCCCCAAACACTGTATCTGTCCTCCCACTCTTGATCCACCTCTCAATGAGCAATGGGTCATTTACGCTGAGGAGTCAGTAGTGCTAGATACATCACTTCTTTGTGTCCGTTGGCCATTGAAACTGGTGTGTTTTAACCACTCTACCCAATGGGCTGTTTAGCTTGAGTAGAGCCGTGGCTTTGATCTGGGCAGTGGGGGGTCTCCGGGCACTACCAGAACCCCTCAGTCAATAAGAATGTGCTGAGGGAAGGAAGCAGAACTGGGCATAGCGAGCAGAACAGCAGAGAGCTCTATGCTTCTTCCACTAAAATGTACTGGAAGGCTTTATTTGTCTTCCACAGGCAGAGCTATTTTGTTGCTCTGCCAAATATTTGACTATAAGCCCAAGAGCCTGACCGGATTTCTCTCTTTGTGTTCTATAGCCGATAGAAAGGAAGGAATTGGTGTCTGTGGTTGGATCCTGGTTTCCCTTTCTTTCCTCTTTGTGGTTCTAACGTTCCCTTTCTCCATCTGGGCGTGTGTCAAGGTAAGCTGATGGGAATGGGAGCACTGAGAAAATGATCTTATTCCTATTCTTTTTCGACCAGGATGGAAGGAGGCTGAGTATGGGGTTAAGTTGCAGGACTGGGAGGCAAGAGAATGGTGTGTCAGTTCTTCTACAGACTACCTATATAATTCTAGAAAAAACGCTTAAATTTTCTGTGCCTCAGTTTCTTCATCTGTTCACTGTAGATAATACTCCCCTACCTTATAGGGATGGTAGGATAATAAATTTACAAAGGTTTTTGAGAAGCTCATTGTTGATGAAGGACACAGAAATAGTGGTAAACCTAAGTAAAGACAAATATCAATGCAAGTCCCCATTCCAAGGAATTTTAGGCCCCAGTCCTGCAAACACTTTGGTACATGCTTAATTTGAAATAGGAGCCATGAGTAGTTCACAGTGAAACCAGTGAAGCTACTGACATGCTGAATCAGGTTCAGAGGTATTTGTGGAATCAGTGCCTCGTATTCCACAGCAAAGAAATAGCTGGAGGGCAAGCCAGAAAATGTGTAGTTGGACATGCATTTTGTTGGTTTCTTTAATATACTTACTTCGACATTTATTCCCTAGATCATCAAAGAATACGAACGTGCGGTTGTATTTAGGCTGGGACGCATATTGCCTAAAAAAGCCAAGAGTCCGGGTATGTATATGTTTTTTATTCTAGGAAGATTTCTGGTGACTATGTGGAATTGTTCTGGCTGTGAAAGTTCATTTGATCCCTGTTCAAGTGTGGATGATTCAGACCAGGGCACTACGAACTGTACAAAGTGACTCTTTCACCTTGAGGGGTGCATCTGCTCCTTGTTTGTTGGCTGCTCTATTTAAAGGGACAATCGAAATTAATAGTCAGCACAACACAGAAAGTCATTGAATCCTGAGAATCAAATTGGCTTTCCCACATGGTAGGAAAAGATGAATGCATGATAAAAACAATTGACTGGAATTTGAGAACTCTAAGTACCATCTCTACCATAGATTTCCTGGGTGACCTCTGCCAAGTCATTTAGGGCTGAACACAAATCATTCTCAAAAGCGCCACTTTAATACTGCAGTGCCTAAAAATTAGATACTTTATCCCAGGAGGATGAGCCAAACTGATAGTGCTGGCATCTTAGGTTCCTGGCCAGTCAATGGACAGAGTTAGCTGCCCTCAATGAGTAATCCAGAGCACTTAGGTGCTGAACAGGAAGGGGCCTACAGTGAGCTGATAGGAAACACTAGGCTCTTCTCAGAACATAGATGCATGCCCATTAGGCACTCTTGCCATCTCAGGACTCTTAGCACCCAGAAAGGAGGTGCCTAAATCACACTGAGTATACTGAATTCAGTCTGAGAGGGGAGTCCTGAGTTCTGGTTCCTGGGCCCAGAATTATCTCTCTTTTTTATTTTATTAACCAGCTGTTTAATGTAAACTATGTATGCAGTGCTGGGAACAGAAACCAGAACTTCCCTCACAGGCCAGTGAGGAAGGCTTCTTGCTTGCTGTATTTCTGGCCCCATAACCCTTGCACTCCTAGCTATCTCAATTTCAGCAAGAGGAGTGAGTGATGTCCCCGCCCAGTCTGATGGGTAGCCAGGTGGCTAGTTAGCATACTCTCCTGGGAAGTGGGCAACGTAAATCCCATTAGATTGAGGAGGCCATGGGACCCTGGCCTCTGAGTTCCTAAATTCTGCCCAAGTCCCATTTAAGTGCCTACAAAAAAGATTTGGATCTGACCCTTAACTCCATCAGTTTCCACATGTAAAGTGGCCATGATGATACTTCTTTTCTTCTATGCATTAGCCATCTTGTGTATTTAAAATCACAAGCTTTGGAGCAGATCATGTGCATGTGTGTGTTTGTACAGCATAGGATCCCCACTGGGACTAAATTATAATACAATAATGAAGTAATACAGTAATCAATGATAAAGTAATGCCTGGATTATTATTATAACAAGTATGTTAAAATAATTATGTCTGCACCACACAGAAGAAAAGAAATTGATTGGGAAACGTGCTGTGAAACTCTGTAAGTGGAAAGGGCCAATGCGAACCATCCACCTTCTGCCCCCCACCCCCTGCCATCTTTCTACAGAACAACAGTTGGGCAGAGGCTAGCAGAGGAGGTATGCTAAGTGGTCCATGATCCCAAAGACTTAAATAACTCAAAGTGTAAGTAAACAAGTTTCTGAGGCACAGGGACAAAGTAAGCCTTCCAAGGTTATGCAGTAGATGTGAGACTAAATTGAGATCTCCTGATTATGAGTTCTGTGCTCTACCCCTTTAAACATGCTAAATTAATCTAAATACATTTGCATTCCCTTCCATTATATGTAATATAAAATCTTTCCCTTTTCACCTAATGCTGCAAAACTCACAACTGTGCTAATGAAGTATCACCATGGCTCTGTAAGCTGTTTCCATTTATAATATATGCATATATGTCCACTTGATTATAAACAGCATATTAGGATTAGGGTTTAGCCCTCACAGAGAAGTGTTTCAAACTCAGGATTTTCTTAACATTTCAGGTCTGCTTTTGGTACTTCCATGTACAGATGTTTTTACCAAGGTGGATCTGAGAACTGTTACCTGGAACATTCCCCCACAAGAGGTAAGAACTCTTCTGTAGCCATTTATTTTAGAAATAAAATGTACAAGAGCTGTGATTTGTACAGCATCAATTTGATAAATAAAACAATTTTCATTTGCTTATAGGCTTAGCAGTGGTAAAGAATTTGCTTAATTTGTTTCACTGACTTGCACATACTAGCACCACGATGGATTCAGAGCTTAATAAGGCCTACAACCATGCCAGCTCAGGCCATAACATTGTCTAAGCCATCAAGTTCTTCCTTATTACTTTCAGAATCTTGAGTTAGACACCATGAAGTATGAATAGAACAAGAGATTAGAGACAGCCAAAGATGAGCAACAGAAGACCAAATAAAAGAGGTGGAATTAATCACAATTTAATATAATTATTCCTCTCTCTCATCAGCATTCACACAAATCAGGAGATAAACCAGTGTACAATTACCTGAACTTATGTTCCTAGTATGAAGTGAATCTGATAGACAATTAATTAAAAACTAATTCAATACAAAATATACTGCTATTTCAAAAGCCTTCACTGAAGTAATAGTGTACTCAGAATCAGAAATTGTTACCAGACCACTGGCTCATCAGTTAAATATTCTGTACTAAATTCTGCCTTGAAGCCAATTTGTCTTAGCTTCCTTGGATTATAATGGCACCCCACTCTGAGATGTGATGGCAAAAAATTAAGGTATCTCACTATGGCTCCAGAGATGTGAATGTGAGACCACCTTCTGACTTGTTCTTAAGGCTGGCTTCAGTTTGCCAAACTGAGGAGCCAAAGATGGCTGGGCATGATACCAGCCACATCATTGCCTTGTGTACTTCTGGTTACAGGAACTGGTCTGCCTTAATCATACCAGCTGTATGGGTTGGTACATACACTAGCCATATGGATTTAACCTTGACCTTTTTCTCATGACGGGGGATACAAAAGATTCATTAACATTGGGATCTCTGTATTTTTGATCATCATTTGATTTATACCTTTTTCTCTGTTGCAGATCCTCACAAAAGATTCTGTAACTACCCAAGTTGATGGAGTGGTCTACTACCGAATCTACAGTGCTATTAGTTCAGTGGCTAATGTCTCTAATGTCCATTTGGCAACTTACCTGCTGGCACAGACAACTTTGAGAAATGTTCTAGGTACACAAAGCTTGTCACAGATCCTGTCCAGTAGGGAAGAGATTGCCCATAATATTCAGGTAAATCCACACCTAATGTTTTTTGTTAATATGCAGAGCGATTCATTTTATGGAAATGCACACTGAAAAGGAATGCACTTTCTTAAAAGTGATTTTTAATACTCCATCATCTTTCTTCGTGTACCACATATTCTGTGTTGAAAAGAAATGGAAGAAATACTATAAAGATCCTTTTCCAGATTCCCCTGAAACTAGCAAGATCTTTTAAATTTAACCTTGGGAGAAGTACACAAGACAATATAGATGGTTGTCAAAATGAGCAGTAATGTGCAACAGTGGAAAAATATACTGGTTTTGGGAAGCCCTTTCTTGCATAGATACTTGATTAAAGTTTAAATCTGATTATAGTTTATCTTCATGTCATTTCAATAAAAGTAATTGCATTGTATTGAACAGAATTGCTCCAATGTTAAAAATACCTCCTTCACTTTAGCAATCAATTAATTGTTGATTTGGCAGCACAGTGGGGGGGGGATCCAAGAAGAAAGAAAATGTTATTTCTTAGCACCCAGGAAAAAGAGAGAGAGACAAAAGAAAGGAGCAGCCTCATTCCTCCTGCAACTCAACATGCACAGACATGTTCCCTTTCAGCAGCCAGGAGATACTGAGGGGGAGAGGCAATATGTCATAAGGCTGTATCCAATGTAATGATGAACATTCAAAACATTATTAATTCACAGTATTGGAATAGCTGTAGTCATGGACCAGAACCCTCATGTGTTTGGCATTATGATACATGCCTGAATGTCAAAAATACAGTGTAATTTGAAGAGATCACTCTATCACTATTCTGTGACTCATTGCATACTGTCTTACCTGTTGTGAAAGGTTGAGTGCCTTTCTTTTAGCTAGCTATACCAACCTTTTTATAGCCTCTTGCTCCTTTTTTTTTAGCAGCAGATTTCTATTATATCTTGCTCCACAAATACAGTCTCTCACGAGTTATTTAAACTGCAGTCCCAGTTAATTTCTAACCAGTATTGAAGGTAATGGTTTCATCCAAATGACTAGCATCAGGCAAAATTGATGTTTGAAAATAATGACCTTAAGCCCATCAAAGTACATTCTGTCTTCTTCAATGCATGCAACAGATTAGAACAATTCACAATCAGTAATTTACTGGGTTACTTTATCCTTTGGACCAACTCATGAAATATCCCTGTGAAGAGTACCATTTCCTCTCATTTATTCTTTTTTAGTTTAATTAAAAAAAAATCTCTTTAAAACTCTGGGTTAGTATCAAACATTCTACTGTGCATTCAATGTTCTGGGGAGTGTATTTCCCATGGTTTTGTTTCCAGTAGTTGTCGTGCTTTTATTTTCAAGGCTATGCTGGATAGTGCCACTCATAAATGGGGAATCAAAGTTGCACGTGTGGAAATCAAAGATGTCAGGATCCCTATGGAGATGCAGAGAGCTATGGCAGCTGAAGCAGAAGCAACACGAGAGGCTAGAGCTAAGGTGAGACTGGCAGCACCGTGGGCGGATCACAGATTTTGAAAATGGGGATGCAGATGGTGTGATGCATCATTACATATAACAACACATAGTTTTCTCCAGTTGAAGAGAGACTAGATGCTTTACTAATATGGTAGGGGACTGCGCTATATTATTCAGTTTAAGATCAAAGCAAAAATAAGTATCATGTTATAAGAATGCACATTAATTTGCTAGATAATAACAAAAGTTGGGCAAAAATAGTCAAAAGAAATTATTCTATCAGTCCTGTAGTCATTAGTGTTAAATGCGCATCTGTTGTTCAGATTTGTAAAACAAAATCTAGTCTTCTTGAGCATCTTGAAAGTGCACCCAGCACTTCACTGTCAATCATTTTCACACCTGAGTTAATATTCATCTAAATTAATATTACCAGACCCGAGTTAAGGTTCTTAGCTGAAGCAAAAAACAGCCTGCAGGGCTGTGAACTAGAAGAGATATATTATCAGGAATGTATAAAGGATAGCAAAATTGCAGAAGTAAGGATAGATTGATTAATGGAACATCAAGGCCATTAAAAAGGAAAGGGAGTTGTTAACACCTGTGGAGTGAAGACAGATTAGTAGGGATCAAATAGATTATAAGGAGCCATAAAGTCAATTGACTCCCTCTGGGCTGCCTGAATAGAAATGCCACTGCACTGCCTAGGAAGTTGGCTTTCAAGTTTGGATGAAGCAGGAATCAAAGGGGGATGCAGTTGTACTACTGCACCCCCCCAGGATCCACGCCTGGGCAGCACTCTTCCTCTCATGGTTGAAATGTGGTACATTTATGACCCAGACTGATCCTTATTGCTGTATTGTACATTTTTACAAATGCTCATTTCCATCCCATTTTAGGTTGTAGCAGCTGAAGGAGAAATGAATGCTTCAAAGGCACTCAAACAGGCCTCCACGGTGCTGGTTGAATCTCCAGTAGCACTTCAACTGCGCTACCTACAGACCTTAGCCACAATGGCAACTGAGAAGAATTCCACCATTGTCTTCCCTCTCCCTATTAATATGGTGCCTGGTTTGTATAAGAATAATGGAGAAAAAAAATAGGTAGCAACTGAATACATGTCTTTACTGCATCAGAGGGAATGAAGGAGTGTCACCAGGAAAACATGTTCTTCCCATCTGCTTTTGCTACATCTATGACACAGCATTCAGAGCAGAATTGAGTGAACAAAGCATATATTCATGGTAACACTCCCTACAGCTGTCCAACATGGTCTAGACATAGTGAGACCCTTTTATACTTTTTCCTTATCAAGAGGTGTTTCAAGCAGTTGCAAAAGTTCAGAGTTAAAGTAGAGAAGCTACTTTGATAGCGCACATCAAAAAGTGGTTAGCTAAACTGAGATGGGAACATGAAATCTGAATGTCTTGAAATATGATTGTGGTTCCCAAGTAAGGCATCCAGCTCTAGTGACTTAGGCTCATCTTGAAGGGAAAAAGGAGAAATCTTTGTCAGGCTGTAGGTTAAACTTTAAATTAGGCTGTCACTTCTGATGACACTTCCTTTTACAGAGAATGGATTCAGTAGTCTGGCAGGTATTTTGTGGTTGGTCTGCTAAACAGGAGCCTTCCTATAAGAGATAATAAAATCATTTCATACAGAATATGGGCCCAATTCTATTCTGTTAGGGCTGTGTAAATCTGTAGCAACTCCATTTAAATAACCAAAGTAACAGAAAGGAGCTGGGTCATTAACATTAGAAAGATTATTTGATGACTGTGTATAGAAGTACCAGGTGATCTGTAAATGGCTGTAACAATAATGGGCCTGGCTCTGATTTCATACTGGTGTAAATTAACTGTACCCCCATTTATTTTAATGGAGTGTTACCCTTTTGTAGAACCAATGTAAATGAGAATCAGGCCACTGTGTTTTATATGCTCGCTGCAATGTAATCCAAATGTATCTCAGCTCTGTAAAAGGAAGAGAATGTATGCCCAGTGGCCACACTTATATTCCTCAAACTGAACTCACCTTCAGAAATGTGAAACAATTGCCATGATGGCAACACAACCACGTGGTATTGAACATCTACCCATGTTAATATACGTCTTCCTCTTCCCCCATAACTAGTCCTTTGCATTCCTCCCCACATAAGCAAACATTTTGTGAAATGTCTCTTTTCACTACCACATTTTATTGGATAGTGAAAGAGTTGACACGCATGTATCGTCATTGGAATATGAATCTTACAGCCTTTGAAATGCACAACAGTTTGCACCTGCCCAAAGATGCTGTTGCAGACATTTCATATAGTCAAATGTGTTTTCTTGAGTTAGGGTCAAGCCAAATCTACACTGCAAAATTCCACTTTGCTCCACTGTCCAGTCATATGAATAAATTTCATCCAGAGAACATAAATGTCAGTGGTTTTCAAACTGTGTTCTGTGGAACTCTGGGTTCTGCAAAGAGATTGCGGTAATATCAGAGCAGGCCAGGAGGCAGTGCACCACCATTGTGGGGCCAGGTCACTTAGCTCCATGTCCATTTTTAGGATAGGGTTAGGGGTGCCACAACAGCAGAAGTGATATAAAAGGGTTCTGTGACTTTAGGAAGTCTGAAAACCACTGATATTATGTGATTCAAAGAAACTCACAAAAAAAAGGCAAAATAGGTTCTGTTATGGTTCCTAAAACTTTAATGGCTTATGGGACATAAAAGAAAAGGGAAATAAGGATTAGTTGCATTAATGGGTGTATAGGCAGTCCTCGGACTTACAACACAATTGGTTCCTGAAAACCGCGTCTTAAGTCGAAATGTTGTAACTCAAAACTGATTTTCCCATAGGAAACAATGTTATAAATGGGGGATTGGTTCCTGAACCAAGGCCCAATACCCTGTTTTCACCAAAAGTACCCCAGAATTTTGTACTCGATCAATTATAGATGAGTAATATAGCTACATTAATGTATTTATATTGTAAATAGGAATCATATTGATTTGGAAGGACTTCTTTGAGGTGACTTTGCTGGACTTTTTGAAGGGTTCTTGGCTGGAGTCTTCTCAGGAGTCTTGGCTGCCGGGTTTTCTGGAGTCTTGTCTGGTTTCTTAAAGAAAGTGTCCAAGGAAGTTTGGATAGACGTTCTCCAGGGAGATGGGTGACACAGCAAACTCATTCGCTGGCATGGCATTACGTCAGATCAAGCGCTGTAAGTCTAAACTGACATCAGAAAGTTGAAACAGGGTGTCAATTTAGAAACGCTGTAAGCGCGAAACATTGTAACGCGAAACATTGTAAGTCGAGGACTGCCTGCACTTCACAGTAGAGCTCTCGAGTACAGCATGGATGGAGTATAGACATGCCCATAGGGTACACCCTCTAATGCTGAGAAATGTTTTGGAGCTTTATTCATAGCCTGCTAAAGTCAATGGGAATCTACTTGCATTTTGTTACCACAAGTGCCCTTAGATTGCAGGATGTGCTAGAAAGCACTTTCTGAATCGTACTTTAATAACTCCTGGTGGATCTTGCAATAGCAGTTGCTATTGCTTAAGGAGCACTCAATTCTTTGTGGTCAATGCTTTGCTTGTCTTTCCCCATCAGAAGGTATTGCTCATCATCCTCCACCACTAAATCACAAGATTAATGCTTTAGGAATTGCCAATGATTATTTATTGATAGAGTTTTATCACCAACTATTGTGGAAACAGAGAAAGCTGTCAATTGTTGTTTGACATTAGTAAAGATGGCAAACCTTTAATGTTCACAGTAAGAACTATGTCTTAGAACCAGGTCCTCCACTGCCTTGCCATGTAGGATGTAGGCCAGGCACTATTAAAATCACCATTGGCTTACCATAACACCGTTTTTCTTTCCTTCAGTACCTGTGCTTCACAAAATTTAATTGATTTTCATAATGCCTCTGAGTAGTAGTTCAGGACTATGATGCCTATTTAACAAAAGATAAACTGAGAGGAATAGAACATGTCTGACATCAGTCAGGGGTCCTGGTTTTCTCTGATTTAAAAAAATCCCCAATTTTCATTTAAAAAAAAAGTAACCCCAAATCCACATTTTTCGATATTAAAATGAAACACCACTATCTATCGAGAGAGAGAGAGAGAGATCTATATATGAGTGGTGTTTCATTTAAATCATGGAAAAATGTGGATTTGGGGTTACTTTTTTTGGTTAAAAAACGGGATTTTTTTTTTAAATCAGAGAAAACCAAGATCCCTGGACATCACACAACAAGTCAGAGGCAAGACAGGGGATGGAGTCTGGGATCCCAAACTACCATTCTATCTACTGGAGCATTCATCCTCTTACTTGGGTGACACCCTCACTTCTCATAAACCCTACTTGGCTGTAAATATTTCCTTTCAAGATAAAGGAAAAGCTTTCTGCTCTTCATGAAAAAGATAGATAAAGTAAAAAGTCTGTTATGTCACTAGAAGCAAAGAAACCACAGGATTGCGTTAATGCAATTCATAAAGTAGGTTGTTGCCTATGAAAGGTCATGCCTCTGAACCAGTTAGTCCCTAATGGGCCACCCTGCCTTACCTGCTGCCTACTTAGATAATAAGAACTGAATTCTATTTGCCTGCTAAGATGCATGGCACTTGCATAGTTTTACACTTCTAAGTTACTCAACAGCATACTATTTTGTCTCACATGCACACAGCCAAGTGCCTTATGTGGCTACATTTTTGCCCTATATGACTTTGTCCCTTTGTACATTCTTGGAAGCTATTCATTGTTGCTTCAGAAACTTCTAAATCCACTGACATGCCATCGTGAGTCAGCTATGCCAAAAGTGCAGCATGCAACCCTCCCCTAACTTCCAGCTGACCTAAAACAACACATACCTCCTTTGACAGTACTCCACCTTCTGGTCAGCAGCTTAGATGTTAGAGCTCCTTCCCAGGATAGGTTCTAGGCTCACTTCCCCCAGAGAGAATTTGATTCAACCCTTCTATGCCACTCGACAGCAACATAACCCCCAGCTATAGGCCAGATATGACCAAGAGCACCTTCCTCAATCTGGGCACAGGAGGAGAACAGACAAGAGAAAGTCTGATTCTGTGTCTCAGGAAGGTGGACACTGCCCCATCAGAGGAAGGAACAAGCTTCCAACATTTGTTCATTTTTGCAATAGAGTCACTAGGAAAACTGAATAAGCAACATTAGGAGCAAAGAACAGACTTCTTCACCTAGTACTATACCTGCTTGAAATTCCTACCCTATAAGACAGGAAGAGATGTTCAGACTGCACTATTTGGAAGGCCTTTTAGTGGCAGTCCTCATGAGAGAACTTCATACAGGAGAAGCCTCTCAGAAGACATAAGCCAGAATCCCTAAGGGGAAAGAATGAGTGCCTGTGTTTGGATGGAAGAAAAGAAAGCCTGGTGGACCATTAGCAGCAAACCTCAAGGTCTCTGACTTAATCCTTTAAGAAAATAAGAATGCACACACGTGTACAATACTCTTCTTTCTCCAGCCCTCTCTCACAAACCCAATACCCCTTGTGGGATACCAGCTGGCTTGCTTCACTGTCAAATGTATCTCAAAATTACACTGGGCGCATCTATATGTGATGCTACATCGCTGGTAGCGTCCACGGGCAAAAACCGTGATGCCACAGCTACATCACCATAGTGACGCACTCCTTCAGTATAGCGCATTGCTATGGAGATACAGCAGCTAAAAATAACCATACGCAGTGCGCATGGTGCAGTATGGGCTGTTACTGTTCCATCATTTAGTACTTCCAAAAGGAAGTACTTAACGATGGTGCAGTAACAACAGTGCTATAGGGACACGTGTAGATGTGCTCACTTTCTCACCACAAGTCCAGTTGACACAGAAAGTGTAGTGGACACCCTAAGGACTGGTGATCCATCTGTTTTTCAAATCACCCTGTGAACTGCAGGCCAGAGTCCCCTTTCACTTGCATGGATACAACTCAATTGGCCAATCTATACACTTATTAAAGTACAATCTAGAACAGTGCCATGACTTAGCAGTAGTGGCCTTAGGGGAGGACAAACTGGGTGATGCCCACACTTTATAATAATAAAAATTAATTACACTGAATATTTGTATTATCAATATCGTATTAAGATACTTTCATTGCAGTTTCATGGACAGGGCAAAGTAAAATTGAAATAAAAAATGTCCAACTTGCTTATAGGTAATCAAAATTAAACTTCTAAGGGGCCTCAAATGACTCTCTTGCCCAGAGCCCCAACAACCCTAAGGCCACCACTGGACTTAGAATGGCCTGATTCCTAATATAAATCAGCGCACATGGTGCATTTGGCATTAGAGTCACTGGTCGCAGATGGATGAGCAGGGGTGTGCAGTTTGTGGTGCTACAAACCTCTTTGTGGCACCATAAACTTCATGTGTGGAATGTTAAAACATGCCCCACACTGCAAATTTGCAATGTGGGGCCAACATTTGCTACCAGGATTTCCCAGTAGCAAAAAGAGAAAGCACCAGGAAAAAATGTGGCACAGAGCACACTACAAGAGTGTGCACCAGAACAAATGAAGGCTTGGTCCTCCAGTGAGATGCTCTGCCTCTTGTGGCACAAATGTAGCATCTTTATGCTACATTTGTGCCCCAGCACGCTGGGAAGAGCTGGGCAAGGGCAGTTTGCCCACAGCAGGACAATTTGGATAAGTGGCACAGGGCCACAGACCGGCCCTGTGCCACTCATCTAACATATATATTTTATATATATAAAATCAGTTATATATATAT